TTTTGTGCCATTATCAAGCCACAAGTCCCACTGTGGTGGTATTTGTGTTATATTATCCCTATGACATTATCATAAACTAGGAACTCCATGGAAAAAACTTGACAACAGTCTTAAATCATGCAATTACCATCTATTTTTGGTTATAAATGTATGAATGAATTGTATTGCAGCAAACTGTGCAAACCCATGGTTCTTGAAAACCTCAAGTGTGCAAATCTGGAAGGGAATCAAAATAACGGATGTCAAGTGAATTGAAAGTAATACATTGCATTTTGTTCAATATTATGAGGTTTTTCCTTATCGTTTCCAAAAGTGTGAAATCTTGGATAATCAATGAGGAATTGTGTAATTGGCCACAGTGATTGAAGATGAAAGTCAGACCTGCAGTCAGTTGTAAATTTAAATAAAAGATCTTGTTCCAAGATTGTGCTTTATAACAATACTGTCATTTGTTGGGGTCAGCTATGACTGACTGCAGAGTGATGGAAGTGTTAGGGTGTAGTGGAGGCACTAGGAGAAAGGGCAAATGGACTAGCAAGGAAGAATGACGTAACTAAGATTTAGTTGTAAAGAAGTGACTGTTCTCTTGTTTGAAGCAGAGAGGCATGAGAGCACCAGAAAAGAGGGATTAACGTGTATCAGGAAAGGATAATAGTAACCAAATAATACCACTTTAGTCCGGAAATGCTGGATTAATTTTGAGGCATTATTTATTTTACCTTCTCACATGCACCCAACTACTGGATTTATTATATATTTTATATCTTATTTTACCTTCTGGACTATGGATATCATGAAAAAAATGTAAAAGACTTAGGATTTGGGACTTTTGTACTATTATCTATATTAAGGTGATTACATACCATAAGTATAATTTGCTGTTTTGTGGTCTTAAATTGTTAATAAAAATAGGAAGAGATGCATTGTTCTTGGAAAAATGTTTGATGTATTTATATAAACATTTAAGCTAATTTTCCATAAAGCTTTTTCATGCATTAAACAGTTTTACTCATTGGAATATCAGACACAAGTTTTGGAGATAAATATCAATCTGAACCGTTTAAGTTGCTACAAATTCCTTAGATAAGGGATTTTTTGGTGTCTCAGTATACCTCAGTCTGACTAAATGACCATTGTCATGAGTTGCCGGGTCACTCAGAGTGCAAAAATGTGCTCTTTCTAGATTTGTGATGTAGAAAATTGACTGGTCATTGCTTGGTGCTATTTACTAAAGGTGATACCATCATGAAGTCTTCAAAGAATAATGATAGGTTCACAGAGGGTCGATGCAGTAGTATGAAGCCATCATGACATCATTACTTCTTTACTGGTTGAGTAATGACAATGTTTGTACTGGTGTAGCATTTGTACTTGGGTAATGACAGTGTTTGGACTTGATCTGTGAAGGGGAAACTGCTGACCACTTGGTTTTGTTGTGGTCAAAAGGTGGAGATACATTTGGCTGATTTTCTGATGTGCTGTCTTGCCTCTGAAGACAGCTATATGCTTGAAGGAAGCTGTATTTCTTTACACGCATATTGTTGAATACAAATATAATATGTTATATCAAGGATTTGGTTGAGCGCATACTAGACTGTGTGCCATATAAAAATACGCTAAAAATAAGTGTCAAAGCATCTCATTACAGAAATAAAGGTAGTTATGTGATGAAACTTTTAAAAGAATCTGGAGGGACTTTTTCTGTTTGTTTCTTGTTATCGTTCTTAATAATTAGTTTCAGTAGGTGTCAAATTATCTCTGTTGCAAATACGTAACTGATTTTGATTTTATTACAAAAGACAGTTTGCATGTAAAATTTAACTGCCTGCAGAACAATGACAGTGACCAGCATGAAGTTACCACACAGTATTGAATAATATTAAGAAATAAATATATTATGCAGTAATTTGGGGTAATTAACCGTCAGTATTTTTTATAATTCAAAAACACGAAAAAAAAAAACACTGAAAAATGTATATTTGTTATGTCTNTTTGGCTGATTTTCTGACGTGCTGTCTTGCCTCTGAAGACAGCTATATGCGTGAAGAAAGCTGTATTTCTTTACATGCATATTGTTGAATACAAGTATGATACGTATGTTATATCAAGGATTTGGTTGAATGCCTACTAGACTGTGTGCCATATGAAAAATATGCTAAAAATAAGTGTCAAAGCATCTCATTACAGAAATAAAGGTAGTTATGTGATGTAACTTTTTAAAGAATCTGGAGGTACTTTTTCTGTTTGTTATCATTCTTAACAATGGGTTTGAGTAGGTGTCAAATTATCTCTGTTACAAATACGTAACTTATTTTGATTTCATTACAAAAGACAGTTTGCATGTAAAATTTAACTGCCTGCAGAGCAATGACAGTGGCCAGCATGAAGTTACCACACAGTATTGAATAATATTAAGAAATAAATATATTATGCAGTAATTTGGGGTAATTAACCGTCAGTATTTTTTATAATTCAAAAACACGAAAAAAAAAACACTGAAAAATGTATATTTGTTATGTTGTTTTTACTGGTATTTGTATATATATTTATTTATTTATTTTGTTAATGTTGCAAGTGCCCTTTTCTCTATTAAAGAGGAATAACTAATCTCTCTGGTGTTGTAAGTTCGGTTTTTTGTCAAGTTTGCTTCAGGTACAGCTGAGGTGGAGAATCAGCACCAGGCAATCAAGGTTTAACCTTCTGTAAATGGTAATCTAAATAGATCAGGGCTATTATGGTAGCAGACATACCAACATGTGCAAACAAGAGATCCTATTAAGATGTCATTTGTCATGTCAAATGTGTCACCTTTAGTGAGCTGTAGGCCGACTCTTATAACTGTAGCTGTACAACTCATGTGCTCTTTGTCTCTCTCTTCTTTATTTTGTTTTCTCACAGTCGATTTTGTAGATTTTGTACGCTTGTGGGAATTTCAGTGGAATTTCCAGCACCTTTCCTTGATATCTGTACATTTGTGTAAGTGTCAAGTGGACATAATCTTTATCTATTGAAAGGTGGGGGATGCCTTGTTTGAGTTTGTACTCATGTGTAAACAAGGTGGTCTGTTCTGAAAAGATTGTCAATATGTACATTCGGTACAGCAGTGCTACTAGCCTCCATGTGTACTTTTGTGTGAATTCTATCAAAATGAAAAAAATGGGAGAGGCCAGATTTAAGAGTCTGGTGATAATCTGGCTTTCACATGCTGTCCACCTCTTGTTGACAGATGGGATGAGAGCTGGATCCACTTTCACTGATAAGTGTGGCTTTAATGTCATACCTCCATTCTGTTTGATTGTATTATGGAATAAAGAATCTGCTCAAGTGAAAACCTCTTTAGTCTAATAGATTTTTGGGTAATATAATACACGAAGGGGTACATTACAGTTTTCTACGTCAAAGTAAATACCGAGAAGAGAATAGAGTAATGTTGTTGGCAAACACCTTTTAACATAATATTAGTTCACATAGAATCACAGTTTGCATATCTGATATGTAATTTTTGTAATATTTTTTTCATGTGGTTGATTTCCTTCATAAGCACAGTCATTTTATTTCACATTTAAATAATCAAAATTAAATTCACATTTAAAATCATAACCACAGAAGAAACAATAGAAGATAAGATTTTGTAAGAAAATGAAAAATGTAAGAAAAAGTTCTTGATTGTCTACAGATGCAATCCACTCTTGAGTCCTTATTCTGACTAATACTTCACCTGGTATTAAGCCAGTTCATTGATATTTTTGTCCAACGTTTTATGCAGATCATTTGCCTGTCTAATTTAGCAGAATAGACAGATTACGATTATGGACTTTTGTGGATTTTAGCCAAGTAAGATCTTGTAGTGTATGCATATTGATAAAGCAATTTGTTATTCACCAAGGAAATTGTTATACCATCCTAAGGGAAGCTTTAAGTGGCAATCTCTGTGAAGCATAAAATGGTTCCATCAAACAAACTATGGTGAGAATACTGGCAAGCACCTGTAAGTTAACTGAACTTTGTGCTAATACAGAGTGAAAGGTTGCATTTAATTGGGGATACAGACTGCAAGCAATTTGACTTATTTGACACAAACTGCTACCGTAGGATAAAAAGACATCCTGCTGTTTGGTTATATCCTCCAAAACCATGTAGTTGACTTGTCCACGGGCTTGGGAACTTGCACTGCTCTGAGCACTGATTAATCACTCTAAAATATATAATCATCCATTAATCAATGGTTTGGTGTTTAAATATTGACCTGCTGTCAAAGTGATAGATAAGCTTACAAGGTTTGCCACTTACCAGGTGTAAGTTGGGTTCGAGTGACTTTTTATTGACCACAGTGGGTTCATGCTGATTAGCAGACTCTGTTGTATTGCTTTGTGAATGCCAACAAGGAATAGCTATTTGAGAACTCTTGTTTTTATGTCAGAAGCCATTCAAAGTAATTGGTTTTAAATGACTGAGACCAAAAAAGACAATGGGAAAATTGTATGTAAAGTTTGTTAAAAGAGTGACCAAACCCAAGTTTTATGAAACCACAAATATGGTAATATCTTTTTATACAATCATAGACAAAGATGAACAAGTAGATTAAAATAATGGTATTTAGTCAATCTTTGTAGCAAGCTTTGAAAATATTCAAAAGCAAATAAAAACAATTATCTATAAGTTTTGTGTTCTCTAGCAAAAAGAAAATGAAGTAGAGTCTCTCACATGCTGTCCTGTTTGTTACATTTTGCACAATGTCTTTTAAGGTGAATTTATCAACTATTTGTCCAAGATTTTATGCCTTTCAGCAGTTCAGAAAGATATGTTACTGTTTAAGAGTCATTTATTTGTAATCAGAGTTGAATGCAGACACTGCACCATTGGCAGGTAACAATATACCTTGTGTACTTTTAACATTCTATTGTATATAGAAAAGGCCAGGCCATTTACCCATATTTTTATTTTAAAAAAAAATCTTCAGTTGTGAAATTTTAACAAGTCTTCATTATTCTCTTTGCCAGGTAACACATAAGATGACAGGCAAAGTGATGGTCCTGAAGATGAACACTAGCTTCAGCAACAGACCCAATGTACTGCGGGAAGTGCAATTGATGAATAAAATGTCACATCCAAACATCCTCAGGTATATTTCAGTACATCTGCTGTCTCCATATGTTATTATACCTACATTTGACATTTTGATGTCAATTTTTTATTTTATAATTTGTGTTTTATTTATTTATTTATTTATTTATTATTATTATTTTTTTTTTATTTTATTTATTTATTTATTTTATTTTTTTTTTTGGGGGGGGGGTCATCAATGAGAGGGATAGGTGCTTAATCCAAACCAGTAGACATTGAATATGAGTTACCATCAGCTTGCCAGTTTATAGTCAAACATCATCATCCCTGATAGTTGCGTGACAAATTGTGATCATTGTAAACTGTAAAGTAATCATATTATTATTTTACCAAGGCTATATTTATCCTGAATGCAAGTTCATAATTTGCAGTTATACTGATGAGTCCCAGCATACTTATCCAATAAAAAAGATATAAGGCATCCTTTTTTTTTTAATGCGATAAACATTTTTGGCAGTTTTCCATCATAAGGGGCTCCCAAACTCTTGATCCATTCCTTCCTGCTTTTTTACAACCCAAAATCGAGATATAGAAATTGATGTCAGCTTGGTGGTTTTAGAGTATTTTAAAAGGGAGTTGTTGGAAAAGATATGATACTCTAAATTTGTGGTCCTCATTTCCTCACATAAGCTTTTCTAACTGAAAGAGTTGATGTTGACAGAAATAAAATGTCAGTCTACAGTCAACAGGCTGCTGAATCACTCAAAACAAGCAAGATTTAAGAAACTGCACCTTCTTACTATGTAAATCTGTGCTGAATTATGAGACATTTTGCTGATTAAGGCTACCTCAATAAAAAGGTTTTTCGATCAAGGTGCATTTCACAGGGATGCTTAGTTCAGTGTCCTTGCAAATATTGCCTTTTTGGAGATCAAAGGAGAAGCAGATATTGGAGCCCCTTGCCCTGACCACAAGGTGTTATTTACTGTTCTTAATTGGCTACATATTACTAGTAGGTTGATTTACCTATCACATGGTGTTTTTCAGTCGATAGAGTCTGATATAGTTAGATGCAAGTAAATGAGATTGCTTCTACTATGGTACCAATTGTACCTGAGGTGTGTTGACTCATTTCTTTTTCCCCTTTATAACAACTTAGAGTTAAATTCATTTTATTCATTTTAATTATTGTAATTATTATTATTTGGTAAGATTGTTTTTCTGGACTAGCATTTCTGTAAGTTCTACTATTTTATCATTAGTTGGTACATAATTACCAAGTGGGATATTTTCCAGCATCGAGTTCATCAGTATATCTCAGTCTCATGACTCTGTTCACTGGAGCATTGGGTTGGTGCTATCTTTCACAGACAGATTGGTTCCTGAACACCACTTCTACTATAGCATACCTATTGCCACTCTGAGTACCTTAGCACTCCTACTGACTTCAGTGAAGTTATACTGAATACATTTGCTATCCCAGGATACTCCCCATGATTCCAATTTCTTACCATCCCCTATATCGGGGCACTCCCAGTGACTCCAATTACCTTGCCACCCCCAGAATGTTTCGTTACTCCCAATGACTATGATTTATTTGTGATCCCTGTTATTGACATCACAATTGAACCTTTATATCCTATGTTGAACCCCCCACCCCTTCTCCCACCATCCAAAATGATGCTTGGCCTTACTTCATTGCTAGTAGGTGAATAAAAAAATTTAACTAGGAAATTACTGTATTGTATGATTGGTGTGTAAATAATAAATATTATTTTAATTTTCTGCAAGAAAGCCAAGGTCAGTGTCACTTTTCAGAGGTCAGAAAAATGACATTTTGGCCAAAAGTCAGTAATTGAATTTGTTATATAATTTAAAACCTTAATGCCAATGTCCTCAATGATATCACCAAAAGTTGCATTAATGCAGTCTTTAGCCATATTGTTGTCATCTTTTTGATTAATATATGTTAACCAAAAATCATGGATTACAACTTACATCATCTGTCAAAATTGTGTTTGGTGGTGATGCCAGCAAGATATATCATTGCCAGTGATAGTTTTATCAGACTTTGAACTATAGGATATAATATCATACTCTAAGTTTATTGAATAATAATTTATATTATATGTTGACATTGACATTTCAGGTTTATGGGAGTTTGTGTTCATCAAGGCCAGCTCCATGCCCTCACAGAGGTATGTCTGTTTAAATTTACATGTTATATCAAGTATAGCTGTATAGTGTCAGAGTATTGCATGCAGCAACTTTTATTTAAATTCTGAGAATTTATATGTAGTATTTTATTATTAAAGGGGAGTTATTTGCACAGCATTGTGATTATGGCCATTGACTGCACTTTGGCTACCTTCATATTTGCCTTATCTGATATTTAAAGTATTTTGACTGTTCTGACTAAAATTCAAAACCATTGCATGACATCATAGTTTCAGTGATCTTTAATTTTACTGCTTGTTTTTCAAGTAAGATGGTATTTTCAACCTCTAAAGTAAAATGGAGTACATTTTTTATTTATTTATATTTTTATTTATTTGCTAAATCATTAACTGATTTGCCAAATCATTAACTGAATGCACAACTTCTGAGTTGTAAGATTTGAATTTCGAGGAAAAAAAAATAAAGCATGCCTTGGGGTTTTTTGTATTACACAAACTGTGTTTAATGGACCATAGACATTTAGTTGTTGGCAGCATTTCACCTGAAGTCTAGGTATCGGTGAGCCTGCCTTGTTTTTCTGCTGCTCTCATTTTTTCAAAGTCTAGAATTAGAACAGGTCAATGCCGTGTTGATATTTAAGACATACTGATGGCAGTTTTTCTTCACCACTTTTATTTTGGGCAATTTTTTCTGACACTCTCCTCTCTCTTTTTTCCGTATTCGATATATTTAGAATTTTCTCACTAAAGTCTCTTTTTTCAAAATGTTTTGCATCACTTTGCTGATTACACTGAGCAGAAATAGAAAAGAACTACTGAAAGGTATGTAGCAGCTCACACACACACCTTCTGTGAAACCATGAAGCCGATTTTGGTTCACCATACAGGAAGTGTTGCTCCTGCTACATAATTTATATAGATTAAAAAAAAAGGAGAAAATAAAATAGGGAAAATGTGAGTACAAAAGATTAGAGAATTTTGTTGTTGGGTAGTGTTTGTCAACATTAATACCAAATGAGACATGCTGATTTCTTTATATCTTTCCCTCATTGCCACAATTTGTACCTATATGCCAACTGAGAAGCACAGATCAGTAGGTCTACATTTTGTCCTTACCACAACTGAAGTGACATATGAAGTCAAGTGTATTGCAGTTTTCATGTTTAAAAAGTATAATATAATTTACATTGTAGAATTAGGTACTATTATACTGCTGAGGATTGGGAACAGCTGCTGGTCTTTGAAAATATCAGTCAAACCTGACCCAGTTGAAAAATATTTTTAATATAGCATGACTTTGTACTTTTATGATATCTATCTTTGACTGAATTTCCGCATGAAGTCCCATAAGTGGGCACAAATGGTATTTGGATTGAATGTAAGACAGTACGTGTAAAGGGCACATTGGAAAAGCTTTTATAATACAAACACTGAAGTCCATGTAGGCGTAGCTTTTTAGTAGTATGTAATCTTTCCACTTTTCCAGTGCAAGTAAAGGGCACACCTGTTTTACGGAACAAGAGTTTTTTTACTTTTTTAGACCACAGTTATGGTACCCAAGAATCCCGGCCAAATTCTAAAACTTGCATGTCTGCTTGTTGAAAATAGTATGTGTGATTTATTTCTAAAACGGACATGCAAGAATGCATCTTTGGTCTGTAATCATTGCAGAGAAATATGATGAGGTATTCCCGGCTAAGTAAAACAAACACGGTTAATCCCAGGTTGTCTGTTTTGTCTGCAAATAATCGGCTGACTTTTGGGTACTAGGAAGTTTTCGGCATCAGTTGCAAAGTAGTTACATAGGTGCCTAGATACAAAACATGCTGTAAGATATATATCAGAATGATTTAGGTTTGCAGTGCAAAGGCGGGCCTAACTTAATTTTCATACAAATGTTTTTTTTTTAGGGGTTTGAATGAATAGGTGCATGTGATCAGTTTACCATTCAATTCAATTTTTCAGTTGGAAGGCATTTATTGATTTGTAACCGTCTGCTGCTTTCTGATATAAGAAGTGATTATTTCAACAAACAATAATCTACGATGGATGCTTCTGTTATAAGATATGTTAGAGCTTCTTCATTCAAAGTCCGTAATTTATTGAACAAAGAACAATTACTATTTTTCCAACATTGATTGTTCCCATTCATGTACCAAATTGAGATCATTATTTTCTAGACATTAAGAACTGTTTGGAAGGATTGTACTTTGTTATTTCATTAGCTGATGTAGTTATATTCCAAAGTGCACAACTCCATCAATGCTGTCAATACTAATAGAGTAAAAGGAGGGTTACAGCTCAACAATTGGAAATAAGATACTGTAGAGTTTTCCCTATGTGCAATTAAGAATATCTCATTCCCTTAGCGTGCTTGGTTATTCTGTCCTCCGAGAGGAGAAAGAAAGCGTAGGTGTTTATCTCACTGATTAGTAACTTGGAACATGAGGAATAACAATATAGCCAAGAATATTTACCTGATTTTTGCAGATATAAATCATCATTTCGTTTGGTGTATTGAAGCTTAATAAAACAGAGTAGCCTTGGCATCAAAGTTATCGGATCTTCTGTCCTTTCTTTTTCCTTAGATAAAATGCCACTGAATACTTGCAACTTATTATTACTTAAGATGGGTTTTATATAAAATGTTTGGATATCTCTTGTGCTTGACCCTGACCTTAAGTTAGTGACCTTGAGCATGACTTTTGACCTGGAGGTCATTCTCCTCTCTGTTGTTTCAGTATATGGATGGTGGCAGCCTGGAGCAAGTGTTGGCAAGTGATGAGGAGCTACCCTGGTTGGTGAGGATAAGGCTGGCCACAGATATTGCACAGGGTATGAAGTATTTACATTCAAGAGGAGTCCTGCACAGGGACCTCACATCAAAGGTGCTTGTGTATAGATTTTCATATTATTACTAGTATAAAGATTGAAATTACTTTGTTTTAAAAGAAATCCAATGTGTTTTGTTTTTTTTTTATCATTGTATCTCTGACATCACCAGAAATTGCATGGCAATGCAGTCCTTAAGATTTTATTTATTTATTTATTTATTTATTTATTTATTTATTTATTTTTTTTAGAATGTGTTAATCAGAAGAGGAGAAGACAAGCTGACAGCTGTCATTGGAGACTTTGGTCTAGCAGCAAAGATTCCCGATCCACTGTAAGTGTTTTTTCACAAATCAGGCAGCAAAATAATACTTAAGTTGCATGTTGCACATGCCCCCATATGTTTAAAAGTGGACAGCAAATTACCGCTGTTTTTGCTAGGTATTGACAAAGGTAAAAACACTGATTTTTTATTAAGACTTCAAAATGTATGTATCCAATGTCAATTGCCTCACCAAAGACGGATACTGCCATTTTACAATGCAATGCTCATAAGAGAAGCAAATTGCTTGGTGGTCTCCTTCACAAATCTGTTACTGTCAAGGATACAAACCCTGCACCCAGTTACTAGTGATGTTACAAACAAGGCTGAAGGTCTGCTTGTAGTTATACAGCTTAGTTACCTCCTTACCTCCACATGACATGTTCTCAGGTATATGAAGTGCAAGAAACAATAACTTTCTTGACTTGGTGAAATGTCTTTCTCCTTTGGGGAAGTGTTGATGATCAATAAACATCTGACTTTCCAGGAATGCCTTCTTTCTCTAAATACCAAATGTAATTACTTGCACTTAGTGCCAACTTTGAGTAATCTTATGTTTAGCTTTCACAGAAATTGGAACTCTAGATATTATTTGGTCAATCACCTTTTTTCATTGCTCATTTTCCATCGTAAAGAGGTTTTTTTTTTTTTTTTAAGTATTCAAACACAAACACTTCTATAGTAATCTTTCACAGCAGTTGAATTGTTGTTCATTTCAGGATCTTGTTTTGTTGCATTTTGTATTTGAAATATGTCAGAATTAACCTGTATACTACAACTGTGAAAGAAGTACCTGCCCATTATTTATCCTAAAGGCACATTGCCTGTAAATATTTACCCTCATATCACCTTTTGTATCTTATTCCTGTGCTGTAGATATATCATGTTGTCATAATTTGATAAGGGGAAAATAGTTGTTTTTGTTTTCTACCTCTGGCTTGGCACCTGTTTGTATTGGAGAATTAATGATGAACTTTTCATGGCTGTCTTATTACATCTGGCCTGTAGGGATACAGGTAAAATCCTGTAGGTTGAGACTTTAAAAAATAGCGATGAACCGCAAATTTAGTCTATCTCTTCAGATTTTATGTTATTTTACATGGGTATACAAGATTGTTAGTTAAAAACTGTTTTCATACTCAGCTAACTAAGACCAGAATAAGACTTGTTGATGTCATCAGATGGTCAGATTGCTTTTAATGGAATATAAACTTTTAAGTAACTGTGGGGGTCTATGTGATTTCTGGGATATCTTTGGTGTAACCTTTTTTTTTTTGGTTATGAAAAGATATTAGCAAGTCAGCGAGCATGGCCATCTATATAGTAATAGCAGATCAACTGAAGTCTCCTTTTCACGTTTTTATCTCAACAAAAAACTTTTTTTTTAGGATGAAAACTATATGATCCTCTTTAAAACTAAGGTCCTAACTATATTCTGTTTTAGAAACGAAAATGAGAAGCTGTCTATTGTGGGTTCTCCCTACTGGATGGCCCCAGAGTGTCTGAGAGGAGAGAGGTATTTTGAAAAGGTATGTAACCATCATGTGCACTGATGTAGCACTTAATGCACTAGCCTTTGAACAGACTCATCAGAAGACAGGATGTTTACTCCCCAAAGGTACTAAGATGATGTTCCCACTTGTTTTATTGAATGTTTTTAATGGGCTATTCCTGTAATGATTAGATCCTAAATGATTAGCTCCATATTAATTATATAAACTGCATAACATACAAGCATATCACTCTTTTATTGTGGTGAATTAGATAATAAAAAATGCAGCAGCTCGATTTTTTCATGAGGGTGATGCTGTCATGAATATAAAGTCATGTTAAAGTGCAGCTAGGTAACATGTCAGCATTATTCTTCTGTAAAGTCCCCAAGACGCAGGTGGTGGGATCACTGTATGAGATGATTCCTGATAGCATTGAAGTGTTATACATGTGTGGCTACCAGATGTCTGCTTCTAATGAACTAATCTAAATGTAAATGGATTTTTGATTTTATTACATCGTAATTTACCACTGCGTTTCTCCTCATATGGAAAGGGCATAGTAAAAGCATTAATGTAAATTCTGATTGTTACCCTTAAAATGCAGAAAATGTGCAGTAATTAATTTTATAAACAGTTCAGATCTGTGCTTTTGAATTTTTTTTTGACTTATTTAATCAAAACATATTAAGGAAATATTTGATGTATCTGGTGGACAAACTGAGAACATTATGTTTTAAGTGGATTCCCATTATTTTTATCAACCTCTCTTAGATGAGATCATGAAAATGACAACAAGAGTTATAGTATTTTATTTATACTAGCAAAGCTAAGATCCAAACTATGAAATAAAATGAGATTTACCTTATAGTTTGGATCTTAATTCATCCTTTGTAGGATTTGATCTGGAAACTGTTGTTAAGCAGTAGATATAGTCTGATGTAAAAAGATGTAAAGCAGTAAAATTTATATATTCATATCTCAAAAATCAAACCCAAGAGATAAATCCTACACATAGCCTCCTATTTTTATGTATTTGTCAGCTTAGATATGAACTGGTAGGTATGACTATCCTGTTTGTTTTTTTTTTAATACCCATATTATTGTTCATTTCTATAGGCTGATGTCTTTTCCTATGGCATAGTGCTGTGTGAAATGATAGCAAGAATACCAGCAGATCCAGATATATTACCCAGAACGCAGGTGAGTGCAAGTTGTAGAAGTTGTAGAGAATTTAGATATTGTGGTAGATGAGATTTGTAGCACAGTGCACACCTATATGATTCCGAGGACTGGTGCATAACAGAAGTTGATGATTTCAGATGATGGAATTCACAAAGCTGTATGCATGCTCGTTGAAGTTTTGCTTGTAGGTTGAAATCTAAATTTAACTACATACATATATGGATATTTGATTTTACTTGTATAATTTTTTTTAATTGATTGTTATTGATAATTTGCAGACTTTTGGCCTTGACTATGTGGCCTTCAGTGAAATGGTGGGTGACTGTCCTTTGGATTTCTTGCAGCTAACATTTACCTGTTGTCAGGTGAGTAATGGGTTATCATATACATGTTATGTCTACTAAACTGAAATCTCCAAGTGAAACTCTCATAACCATTGAATCAGATAGAAACAGAAATGCATTTACAAACAGAATGGTAAAAGTCATTCTACAGCATTTTTCCTTTCTATAACATCTTTTCCCTTTGTAAAACTGTTTACATCCCAAGAAAAAGGCAGAGACCAGTAGCTCTTCGTCATCATTTGCCTGAAATAAATTAAAAATATTTTAAGTATAAGAAAATTTATGGAGGGGAAGATCTGTAACTAAGGGGAAATTCCTGTTTTATGACCCTCGCTAAAATTGTTCTCAGAAGAAGAAAATAATTATTTTTCAATGCTTTTGATCATATATTATTAAATACTCTGGTTTTATTATTCAAGATGGATGTGAAGAAGAGGCCATCATTTCAGGAGTTGATAGAGCCTCTGAATGAGATAGAAACTCATGCCATGAATATAGACCAGGAGAGAAAGGAGCAACTTTTTATTGACACAGATCAAATTACTGTGGAAGATTTCTCAGAAAATGGAAATTTACTTATGCTAAGTAGTACGTATTTGTCATTTGCTAAGTAGTATGTATATGCCATTTGTAGTGGAAAAATTGGTATATTTTGGAAACACATACTAGTGTATAGACTGCCAAAGCTTTTTTATCAGGAAGGTGTTTTATACATGACATGCATATGCACATTTATGTTAATGTATTTTGTTTTGATCTGAACTAAATTTTCTTTTTCTTAAATTTTAGGTAATCTCTCTGCCATGAAGAGGTCTCGGTCCCATGAGGATCACTTATCCACTCCAACAGATGTATCTGAAATGCACAATGTCAAGGTCAGGGGCATGGATCGTCTGACGAAATCCGGCAACCTGATGGTCCCACACAGCTGCATTGAAATGCCAGTCACCCCGCAAATCATAGGGCAGGCTATGATGAAAGAGGATCCGTTCTATACTCCAACCAAAAACAATCCATTTGCTTCTTACCACAAGTTTAAAGATGGTAGAAAGTTGTTAGGTGCCCCTAGGAGGGACTTCTCCACATCGTATAATGTGCAATCCCCAGGGCCAACTAGCCCTTCAGGTAGCAGTAATATTATCAGTCAAGATGAATATGCAGCATACTCTAGACTAATAAGGCAGCAGTGGGGAAGGAAATGTTACTCTGTCCCCAACTCGCCTACACTTGTAAGGAAATTTTTCTTCATTGGTGCTAATACTCAACCCCAAACAATCAGCTCTGAGTGTGTAGAGCCTTTGACTTGTCAGCCTTCTTCTCCAGAGAAGGAGAACTTTGGTGAAGACTTGCTGTCAGAGTTACAAGATCATGATGAGTCTGGGAGTGTGGATAGTGCACTGGGTATTAAGACGCAATCCCAGAAACTCTCACGGTCATCCAAGAAAGTGTACAGGATTCGGCAGCTAAGCATGGACAGCAATCTAATACAACCAATTCATGCCACAATACCCCTAGCTTCTCCTAAACTGTCCACTCCTACTACCTCAGAGGCCCTCCCAGAACTACATATTGTGGAGCATGATCGAGGGTCAAGGTCGTGCAGCTCTTCAGAGTCATTTATGTCATTTGATGATTCGTCCACAGCTCTATCTCCAGCCAGTTCATTGTCCAGCTATGGTCCAGACTTAGATCAAGATTTCTGGCATTCAAGGGCCACAGCAGAGGGTCTGGATGGGGAGACTAAGCCAAAGTCCACTCGGTCAATTGTGGCTGAGAGGACAAAGTATTTTCAACAGAAGTTTGAAAACAGGAAGGAGTACAGGGAGTCGTACAGCAGTAGCAGTTACAGCTTTGTACCTAAAGGGAAAAACCAAGGCAACAAATGGGATGGTGAAAAATGATTAAAAAAAAAAAAAAACTACTCCAAAGGGTCAAATTATTATTTTATAAATGGCATTGTATGAATGGGGAAGAGCTAAAAAAGAAAACAAGGAGAGCTTATTTAGTGAAACCTCTTCTTTGCCTTACTACACTAATTTTGAATACAGGTATTATAAGTGTAGAAGTGTTGGATCAATGACTGTTACATAAATAATGAATCTTATTCAGCTGTTCTTCTATGGAAAATAAGTAATATTGCAAGTTGTTTTATACACTTTAACTGTGATGCTTGTCTAAATTGTGAAAGAGACACTCTGATTTTGTACAGATAAATATATTTGATTATTATAATACTGGAATTGTTAATAATCATGAAGAATGAACAGATGGTTAAGTTTTGAGCTGTAAATTACAATTTGAAAATAAGTTAATCAAGCGAGTTAGTGGGTATATTCAGTTGTGGCAAAAAGTGAGTCTTAGATGCATAATATCCATTTATATTTCAAACTTTGAAATGGAAAATGCCAACTGCACAGCTTTTTTTCTTATGAAATATGAATAACTTAGCTGTAGTTATCATGTAGACATTGCATAATGCATGTTTTGCATTATTTGGTGGGATTTATTTCTGAAGAATGTATCATTCTGTTGGGGCTCACAGATTGCAATGTTATATGAGTTTACTGTGTGTCGTAGAAGTATACAGTACTTCAGTACTGCAGTATGGTCGAGACTTAATGGTTTATAAAAGTCTGATATTTTACATGTCAGTGTTTTGTCTAATAGGCGAGTGAATGGATGAAGGTATGGATGGGTGGTTGGATGAATGGAAAAAGCAAATATGTTCAACTCTATGCAGTTTTCTCTCCATTAATTAGGTAAAAACAGGAAAAATGTTTTGAAAAGATTTGTGCACTCTTTACAAACATTCTTCAGAAATTTATCCAATTTTGCTACTTCGATGTCAACACTGTTAATATGGGTAGCTAATCAAAGTAGCATGTCTGACATTATGTTAATAATGCATTTTATTTTATTTGTGTATTATCCAAGAACTTGAGTCACCTTTTGCACGTACATTTGTTGTATTATGATATTTGTATGTTGAGAGATTAGGTTGTGATGCCCAAAACAACCCCCCCCCCCCAAAAAAAAAAAAAAAAAAAAGCAAAAACAAAAAGTGCATTCAGGCAATAAAAGAAAGTACTCATACTATATATATACAGGTAGATACAGAGTTTAGACATTACAGTTTTACTGTGAAAGCAATAAAAAAGCGAGGTCAAACCATGCTCATCTTTTCAGCTGCCTACTACCATGTTGTCTTCTAAACTGGTAAAACAGTTTAGACAACAGCTATAAGTTAAGAAGGAAGTTATACAAAAAGGGAAATTGAATTTAAGAACTAGGAGATTGAACTTGAAGCAATCTCTTTTATTTTCAAACCTTTGCGAGGGTAGCCTAGTTTCATGAAGTGTTTTATGAAATCCACAGTAACTATCTCTCAGTCCAAATTGATGTTTTTTAAAATATTCGCATTTGCTCAATTTCATGCAAATTGTTATAATGAATATTGTTAATTGCCAAAGACCATTTTATTTCTATTATCATTTATTGTATTCATTAATCTGTAACTGTTGCATAGCCTATTTTCTTTGAGTAAAAAAAAATGCCAATAAAGTGAAGCAATAAAAGATAATGCTCCACTTTTAATGCCCATTAAGACAACTTTATGATTATTTATAAGTATTCTTTGTGCTACTTTCAGACAAATGGCCATTTATTGAAATTTAAAGAGTTTAGGGTCTGGCATAATGGATATTTGTTTGTATGTCTCACTCTCTTATGTATTCCCTGCAGTTTTCATGTAATCTTTATTTAATTACATATATTATTTATCACAGTGCACATGCAACTTCATATTATACACCAAAACATTTGTACATTAATTAAACTCTAGTCATAATCATGAAATTTATTTTAAGACTTTTTCACTTGTCTAATTTCTAGTTTACTTTGAAAAAAAATACACTGCATACAAATGTTTTTCTCTTGAAGAACCTTTTTTCTCACCTTGTCACATTTTATAAACCTTTTGTGTTATTTTGTAGACAAGTAGAGGGAATTATTTAAAAGGATAAAGCTTATCTAGTCACTAGTCACTTCTGTTGAACTATCAATTATGGTCTGTGCATCTTTCATATTGTTAGCATTGAGCATCTGTTTTGTCACTTGATGGTCGGAAAATAAAATTCTGGTTAATTTGTTTGAAGCATCTAAGGTCAAACATGTAATTGCACCATTTAAATATCAATTTTTCTGTTTTTTGAAGCCACAATTTTGTCTCATTAAACATGCAGCAGATCTGTGGCTTTCATTATTTTTGGCCCAGATAAATCTGAAATACAGGTATATGTTGAAGATACCATCTTGAATGCTGTGATTTGTTATGTTATGAAAAGTATTTTTGGAATAGAAAATCTTGCAAAGGTCGAAGTGAATTAAAGAAAGACAAATGTTATTTCAGCAACGTAAATGGGTCATTGAGATGTTGGAAGTGCATTTATCAGTTATTATTCTTATTATAGTTACTTCCTTAATACATGTTATAAATATTGAAATTTTTTCAAGCAATAAATAAATATTCATATATACCAGATGGACACAAGACTCATTTGATGTGTAAATTTATATTTGATACCACAGATTCAGTATATTGTCAATGATATGAATAACATTTTTACCTCTATAGCTGCATATTACATTTGCATTTAATTTTGTCATATTATAAACTGAAGGTTTTATGCCCAATCGCTCATTTAAATCCTCTAGTCCAATTTACTGAAACTTATACTAGTTTTCTTTTGAATCTGGCACGATCAACTTATAAACACTTCCCAATCAATGCCACATTTTACTGGTTCAACCATCTTAAAAGTGCCTCTAGTACTGCTAACAAAGAGGAACTGTTACTCCAACTAAAAATTAGTTTGTCATCACTTTTTTGCACAAACATGCAGTTATTTAAACATTAAGTCATGTTTCCTTAACCTAAGAATGTACTGCATATCAATTTTGTGTTGCATTGCTTACTTAATACTGTATTGATCAAGGGATTTTGATTGTGAAAAACACCTATTGGTGTTACATGTGATAAAAATATAGATACAGGTATATACAAATTGTTACATAAAAATTGGCTCAGGAATTAATATCATGATCACCACCAAATGCCTAGAAGGATTGTGTGCAAACTTCCCCTTTAAAACCTAAGAGCAAGCTGTTTGTAAGTTGTCTTTTTAATTGAACACTTAATGATGATATAAAACTTTGCCTGTAAGTTACATATACAGCTCGCACATAATCATCTTTAGAAATAACTAGCTGGTCCAATTTCTGTTATGAAAAATGTAAAATACAAATAAACTGCCATAAAGACATTTTCAGCACCATTTCAGCTGAAGTTGAATAGTGGAACAAACCTCCACCCTCACAATAAATGTACTAGTGCTTTGTAATTCGGATTATAAAAATCAGGGAAACTGGACCCTATCTATATCAATAGAAATACTTAACTACATTAAATCTTTTGAATAGTATAAAAATATGCCCATCTCTCTAGCAACATTTAATTATATCTAATTCTCATATAAAAATAATCTAAAATGGGAAGACTGACCAAAGGTTAACTGATGAGAATTGCATTGTTAAGGCACTGTGGATTGTATATTTGGTCAGCATCTCCTCGTTTGATAGTGTCTACATATATGATGATGATTTAATGAAGTTTGTAGAATCTGTAATGGCATATCAAAATGTAAATGTTTTATCATGAAAAAAAGAATTCCAAAAAGGTTTGACCATATAATTGTCAAAGTCTAATGAATGAGTGTCAAGAGATAAAATACACACCTGTATAATTTTTTCAAGAAACTGCAGTTAAATAAAACCTTTAACTTGCATATTACTTCTCTAATTTTACACTAACTTCAATGCTCTATTATGAAAAGACAAAAACAGTACGTCCAGACCATAAAATAAATGCATATTACTTAAGATTTTTCAAGGTTGAAGGTACTTGGTCCTTTGTTTGTACAGCCTTCCTCACCTAATAATAACACCTGAATTACATGTGACGTATCAGAATAATTTCCGATAAAGATACGCTTTTATCTCCATGACTTTACTTCCTCCCCAGAATGGCAAGTCTTTCTGGCCCTGGCAACTTGTCCCAACATTTCTGCTTGAGTTTCAATGCCTACACCATGAATGCTGAAAAAATAGAGAAAGTTACAAGTTTTCCATTTGTTCTGCAGTGAAAATCTCCCACTTTTTACTGGGGAAATCCCAAGCTTGTGTACAAGGGTACCGATGTAAGCATCCTCATTCACAAAAGGTGGGACTTTTGGCACAAGGGAAAGAATATCCTCCACAACATCACAGGAGAGCACATATCCAGTTCCACTGACATATTCTGGGTAATATTGTTCCTTGAAATCTTGATCTGACACTGCCCATTTGTTGAATTTCGGATTTCCTCTCACAACTTCACGATGTTGTTGTTCCACAAACACATGTCCGGCATACAGACCCTTAGTTAGAGTATTCTCATAAAGCAGAAACTGGGATAAAATGGGAGTATTGATAAAACAATCATCATCTGTCTTTAAGATATATTTTGCATGGCATTCCTCAGAGCTCCAACGAAGTCCATGAAGAACTTTAAGAGTTAAATTCCTATAACTGTCAAGGTAGTTCCCAAACAGTAGGTCTCTGCTGATTGCACTTTCTTTCTTCAAATTTTTATTTATGGTGTATTTGTCCGTCTTGCCAATGAGAAAAACACACTGCCAGTTGCAAGTCACTCCGCCAATAGCTTCTGTTTGCTTTTTATTGCAATAAGATTTTCTAATACCTTGTCGTTTCACAAAATTTTCAGGAGAGGATGTAATCAGTATAAGTAGAAAGGCATCTTTCCGACACTTGATGGTTTCCTGTTTCAAACCACCCAACGCAGACCAACTCCACTTAGACTTAGTGTCGGGTATACCACCTCTGTTCAAAGCAACAACATCAGTGTTCGACATACTAAAACTGTCCTCAACTCTATCTGTACTTCTTTCTGCTTCATCATAAGGTGTAACTGACTTACTTTGGACAACAATTAGGGCAATTATCAACAAGGCTAGTATCCCTAATAGAAAGCATACATTTGTGCACCATTTTCCGGAAATGTATCGATTTACAGTCAATTTAGGGGATTGAGGTGGGGTCACCATGGTGATTGTTAGACTGGAACTGTTTTCTGAAGGACATATTCTGATACCAATTTTGTTGGTGATTTTATCATTTCATGTCACAGTTGGTTCACTTGGTCATCACCATAACAGTACAAGTTTAGAGTCAACTGAAGCAGCACTACGTAAGTATTTCAACTCCTCATTCAGAAACTCTTCATGTAAGCTTGTTCTATGTATTCTGCACAGAGAAGCAACTTCATGGCACAAACTGGTGACAACATCTTGTGTGCAATCTCGGTAAACTTGCATCTCTGAAATGATACAATGAGTACATCAAATAGCTTGTTTTGTGCAACATGTTTACAGTTCTCATCAATAATTTAAAAAAGATTTTCAACTGAAGAGTGATTATAATAGCAAGCCATATCAATTTATATTTTCTTATTATCTTATTATCTTGAGCCTTAAGAGGGTGGGATATTACTATTTTATAGAGAGAATAATGAGAGGAACAAAAAGCTAACATGCTGTGTCCTGCATTAACTTACCTTTTTTAGTCTCATGGCTTTGAAGTTGACAGCCATTGGTCACCTGCCATGTTTCTACATGGCCTGGCACAAGTACCTAGAAAGTAAAATAGGAAGATATAATCCAAAACAAATCTCATATGACATATAACAATCATTCTCAACTGATGAGGTGAGCTGAGCTCAGGCAGAGGCAAGGGCCAAAGACTAGACGTATCTCTTAGTTACTTTGCATTCACAGCAGGTGGCATGCATAATGGATGGTAGTAGTTCTAAATTCCTTCCACAGACAGATCCAGTATTTCAGAGGACAGTACTCCACAGTGAAACTCAAGCTTAAATCACCCACTTTATATTTGATATATCACGAATTCCCATAGCATAACTGCCTCTGCACATAACTTGAAAAGGAGTTACAGGTGTGTTCTAGCAGCTGTTTTAAAGGCTGCAGCCTGTCCTTGGCTTCTGCAGGTTTTTTACTTTCCGGAGGTTCATAATTGGTACATAAATAACTTACAAGAAATTCTGTTAAAACAGCACAGTCAGTGGAAACTGTTTTTGTTCCATATTAGTACCTTCAGACCTTTGAACCTCTGGGCAAACAAAGAACATTCCAACCCACTTGGCTCTCCCAACTACATGTATTTAGGTGCACTCACGTCTTTGGGCCAGGACCTGAACATTTTTATGTGTAAAGTAAATAGTGTGTGTGTGTGTGTGTGTGTGTATGTGTGTGTGTGTGTGTGTGTGTGCATAAATACATGCATGTGTGTGTGTTTAAGAGGATCGAAGCTACCGCAAATATATTTTACCACAATTAAGACTGAAATCAGCTACTAAAATAACTTAAACATCTTTAAAGATTATAGAAAATTATGAACAAAGAATATTATCACGGGTCTATGTCATTTTCTGCCATTTTGCGAAAGTGAATACACTCAAGTTTAACTGGCAAGTTGCCAAATACCCGTATCGATTCAGTTCAGTAAACAGTCTACTGTGTAGACTCACAAGACTGAAAGCGTGTAAGATACTACAATTATTATAAATTCATCTAAATCTCACCAGTGAACAAAACACTATAAATGACGAGAATCGACCTCTACCATTGAAAACTAAAACTTACTGGCTTTAAGCAACTGCTTGCAAATGTTTTCAAACTGAAGGCAAACACTGCGTGAATACTGAAAAAGGCACTTGTTGACTTGACATATGTAGTCTTTGACATTGGACTTTGCCCTGCTATTTAAAATAAAACTAAATCGCGACGATTCTTTTTCACACTATTCACCATGCATATGTTAAATTTTGGTAGCCATAACTATTCAAACTCTAATTTGACATATATCAAACATGCAAATATAGATAACAAAATAACAACATTACTTACTGAAAGTGAAAAGCACTGACTAACTTCTGACTAGGTCTATTTGCTTCTTTTCATGCTTGTGTGACCTACTTAAACCATCACAACCACAGGAGCAATCTCATTGGTCAAAAGCATCTAATTAGGTCGGGAGCAGTTATTTAAGCGAAAAGAAACAAGCCTGATATGATATTTCGTGGCATTAATACTGTACCCCAGAGCTTGTATTGATTCCGATGTCGATTGCTATATCATGATCTGGGCACATCACAGAAATGAAAATGAACCAAGCTTTTCATTACATTCCGCAGTGATATGGAGGGGGGGGGGGGGGAAGGTGGCACGCATAAATATCAAAATAATGAAAAACGATCTTATGGTATGGCAGTTTAGGGTACCACGAAGAATTTTCCAGGTTAATGGTATGGCTACGTCTGGTAAGCGCCTTGAAATGGTTTCATTGTTTTAAAACAACCAGATCAATCCCCTCATTTCACACCATGTAGGGCCTACATAGGCCTACGAAGTTTGAGGTTTGGTAGGCCTATAGTCCCTCAGACCTCATAGGGCCTACATCAGATCTAAAAGCTTTAGATATTCACCAAAACTACAGTGTAGTTGTATTATCATTAAATCAAAATGTTCGGTAGGGCTATGAGGGATTGAGGCTCACCGTATCGTAAGATTTAAATGATCAATGTGTGGTGTTCACAAATGGACCTTGCTCTAAAGGCTCAGTTCCTATGGTATAAATCCGATTTTATGTTTAATACAATATAGGCCTACTACGGTATGCTAGCCAAGGCTCACAGGCACCATGTGGATTAGAGACACAATGAAACTTTTAGTCGATGATCCTAGATATCAGATCAGACGATCTGAGGAAAATATGCTTGTGGGACTACTTTTAAAAGCTTTTAAATTTTCTCTAATACGCTACGTAATTTTATGTTGGCCCATTTCATTTTATTCCATCCTATTTTATTTATTTCATTCGTCTTTAAAAAAAACATTCACCTTTTAAAGTTGGTAATTTTAATAAATAAATAGATAAATAAATAAATAACATTTTGTTTTATGACGAAGACCTTGGTCTAAGAATATTTAAATATACTAACAAATAATTTCCCCAAAAAATACTTGTCAAATTTGCAATTCACTACATGTAGGCTTCATTTAGTATTAGGTCTCTAGTGTACTACTAATATTTCGTAAGATCTTACATGTACATAAAGCCCTATCTGTAAATTGAGCATTATACGAGAACACGCATCCCACAAAAATTTGGACATTGTCCAAACAGGTAGGTCACGCTCAGATGTGTATACTATTGAAAATTGCCAAAAATTTCAAGACCGACCATGTACTTGCATTATTGCGGTTGAAAATTTTGAATGAATTCAAAAATCAACTAAATGGTGAAAAATGCTCGTGCAATGTAGATGTACTTTAAATTACTTCTGGAATAAGCCTACTATGCACAGTGCACGTGTGCGACTACAGGAATGAATATTCCGTGCTATCAGATAGTTCATCTCACAGTTGTTGTCTTCACGGTCCAGCATAATTTTTCACTGTAGGCCTACATGTAAACACAAACATGTGAAGGGAACAAATAAGGCTTAATGTATGGCAGTGACAGCATTTCTGTAGTCAAGAATTCTTGGTCGATGAGAGTGGAAAAAATATTCAAGTTGCAGATGTGATTGTCAGTAAAAGCATCCACAAAAGAAAATTAGTATACCAGTGCAGAGATAGCTCTATATACACCGTATACGAGAATGCAAGGTGTTGCTGTAAGCAGAGGGCTGAAAGAACTGTGAAAGAAGCAGGAAACCGCCGAGACACTACCACGTTTTTCACTTCTGATTGAATTATAAATTTGATTCAGCAAAGGAGCCAGGGATGCTTTAATCTTTTATTTAGCCTTGACGATAAGGGCACCAGACAGGTAAATTTCATTTTCGTGAAAAAAGGGAAAAGACGCTTCTTTATTCCCCGCAAAACTAAATGTATAATCAAACATGAAGTTCAAGGGGAGGATCGATCAGTACTGTCTCCGATCGAAAAACGGACAGCACTTTATGCGATACGAATCTCTGAAAAACTGTGCTCACAACATCACAGGGGCCACCGGGGAAGGTGAGTTTTTGCTTCTTTTCAACGAAGAATTGGAGCGGATCAAAACATTTATAAATCTGAAGCTCCAGGAACTACGCATGACCCTTCAGCGCCTTCAATATTACCGAGACCAAGAAAAATGCGGGGGGCACATCAGAAACACCGATAGCCAAATTCCTGAGAAATTATTATTCAAGGAGTTCATCGATGATTTCGTTACTGAACTAGAAGATATGGAAAAATTCATCATGCTTAACAGAGAAGGAATGGACCGCGTCATTGAAAAACACGACCTAATCACAGGGATAACCAGCGACTGGTACTTTTCACAGAATCATGGTGCCTTCTTTGCCAGATATTTAAATGAACTGGACGCATTTCTTTTCCACATTAGCATTCTTTACACAGAAACAAGAAGTAAAGACAAAGCAAAAAATAACAAAATACGCGAAAATGTGGAAGAAAAACTGTTTGAGCGAAACATTTTAAAACACTTGGTAAAAACAGAGGATGTCTTTGCGGTTAAGACCGAACTCATCAAGCATCTACCAATCAGCATTCGAAATGACATGTACAGGTAAGACCAAATTGTAAACCCATTCTAAATCCTTTTTTTTACGCTTCGTTATGCTTCACTACGCTTCACTATTTAAAATTAATAATTTTTAGATATCAAAGGCGTTTCAGGTTTTGCACCTGAATCACCTAAATGGCTCAAGCACTTTGTTTTTCTTGAATAAGCCTACCATTCAGAACCTGAAATAAGGCTGTATTCCCAGAGCTTTTAGATCGATCTATCCCCGCGGGGAGTCTGCCTAGATTACTGTCAGATAATCCGGCTTAAATGTCCGTCCCGCCTACTACAAGCTGTAAGGGGGTAATTAGCTTTCGTGTCCGCCCGGCTGACAGCTATTTAGCGTGAACCCCCAGGGAGTTAGGTCGATCTAAAGTAGATCGATCTAATCTCTGGAAATGGGATCTAAGAGATATTAGAATTTTGGGAGAAGGATATTCAAGTTAAGATTTGATAGCAAAGTCCCATTTATCAATAGCCAAAATGGATAACTAGACAAAATTCTTCAAAGAGAGCCGCAACTATGAAAGAACGCTTCGTGAGACGAGATGCATTAAAACAGCGAAAAAGGGAAAAATACTGGACCCTGACTGATGACATAGTGGTGGAATACAATCACGTGTAGATGCTTAATTGGTGTACGGCGTTACACTGGTTCCATGAGACAAGACGCTGGAAGACTACCAATATTTCAATATTTTTATATTTAAGTCACGCGTTGAGCAATCCTCCGTTTGCAATAATTTATTACCATTTTTTTTTAGAAAAAGTACTGTCTCGTGACCCGTAAAAAACGAGCAGGAGATTCGCTTTTATTAACTTTAAAAACTAAATTTTCAGGATAAGTCCCCAGCTTAATTGCAACCCCGAGCCTCACGAGAGTCTCATAGAAAGCACACCGCCTTTCATGACATTGGTTTCCTCGGTTTTTCTGGATAACTCAGATCTGCTCTCTTACCACAGCCTCCAGCGACTGGACGAAAGCGCCACGGCCATACGGCTGCGATGGCACAACCTTTCACAAGGGAGGGAGGTATGTTTACAGTGATCAGTCACTGCGTCAGATTTCAAGACACTGTCCGGTACTAACCGTGCTCTTAGTCTTTTGGTGTTTAGTTGGTGAGCAATAGTAATCCATTATGCTTGTGTGTTACACGCAGTTACCGAATACTCGGAATTGATGGGGTAATGGATAGAAATGTAAACTTGGGTTACGCAAAACGTTGTTCGATAAAGACGTGAGTTTTAAACCATAGTCCTTGATGTCATTTAAATCAATCAGATATTTTTAAATTTTGATTCAATGATATTGCTTCTGTTGCTTCAAGATATGCAATTTTTTATGTAATTAAGATTTATTGATTTTTACGAAATTTACGGATTAGTACCTGTCAATCAACTTTTCTACAGGTAGTTCCTCTTGCAAGTCCACTTGATTCGATAGTATACGTTGAGAAGAAAACCTACAACAGCGAAAGTATTTGCAATAAAACGGAACGATTTCCGTTGAACGAAGAGGAAGTTTTCAGTTATTTAAAAGGTATGGGAGCATGCTTTGTCTGCCTTACCTTTATTACAGTCACATGTTAAGAAATTCAAGTGAAAATACCTATTCTTTTGCATGTATCCCATATAACATTATTAGATCAAAAACCTATATTCATTTCACGTCTATATTCATTTCACGGTAGTGGATACAAGAACTTTATTTTCAGGAGAACCAATTGCCTCTCTTTGTGATTCTGCCAAACCAGAGACGCGTTTGAGAAATGAGGCACAGAAGGTCATCAATAGAGATAATTTGGAGCCTTTGGTGAGAACGGCATGCAAAAGAATGATATTTCAAAGCCCTGATGACAATGAAGTCAGAATCACCTTAGATTCTGATCTCATTTTTGTCGATGAGGGTGGCCGACAAAATTCACAATGGAAGCGAAACGAAGATGGTGAGTTAAATAAAGTACTTGAAATTAATTTTCTACGTGCTAATAAATTCATCTAACGATTTCATATCATCAAAAGAGGTTTAAAATGATGAACATCATTTTTATTGGGTTAAACGTTAAGATGCCTACAAATAGACGGCTCAAAGCTGACGCAACATGTTCGATAATATCTCCTTCAAATTCTCTCCTAGAAATAGTTGAGAACCGCCACTATTGCGAGTTCCCGTACAGCATCCTCAAAGTAGAGCTTGGGTCTACTTTTCCTGAATGGCTAAGACTTCTATTAGAGCACCCTAGTGTCCGTCACATGGAAAAGTTCTCAAAATCTCAACAAGCGACAACCTGTTTCTACCCTCACAGGATAAAGGAGTTTCCAGACTGGTTCGCTGATGTCACCATTCACGGGAGTAAAACTGGTTTTAGTAAGGTATGCATGGCGACGATTAGCCGCAATTACTATGAGGCCCGTTCAGCATTTAAAAAGTCGTAAACGTGGTTTTTATTTCAAAACATTAACGCGTCCCCAGCCTAATAAATGATGCAGGCGCTACTTTATTTTTTTTCCACAGGTTTTACTGCATCAAGAGGGAAACGACCACCGTCTATCTGTGAATCAAAATTCTGTCATAGAGACTACTGGAGATTCAACATCCTATTCATTAACCTGTGAAACTGGGGAAAGATGCATCCAAGTGACAGACGAGAACGCTAAAATGCCGACTATTCCCCTTATTGAAATGTTGCAAAACAGTGCGTATAAACCGGCTTATGCGGAGGTTCAAAATAAGAGTATTTTTCATTTCATTTTTTGTTCGTTTCTAAAGATGTTTTGATTTATGAATATAATATTGAAAAGTCAATATAATACTTGTTTTTCAAAAGATCACTTCACTTTTTATAAGAGTGTAAATACCTATATTTCAATTGATGTAGGTGTACTGCGGCTCCGACATACAAAACTACCAAAGTTTTCGAGAAGTTTTCAGAAAAATGCTTCAGGTTGTGCGACATCCCAAAAAAAGAGACGCTTGAAAGTAGAACCCAAGACTTACTTTGCAAACGAAAGAACCTTCATTCAATGGCTGACGACATCGTTGCTACTAGTAATTTATTTATATATTTATGTATTGTAAACTTATTTTCATTCAAAAAGTTCTTAAGAAATGTTCATCTTATCTCTAACAAATTGTATATTTCTATGAATTGCCGTATAGAGATATAAACATGCAGGCATTATATAAACAAATGTGATGGGGCCTTTGCCTTATTCGGATTAGTAATCAACTCAAAATAGCTTTACGTCTTCACTACCACATTTCTGTCCATCCTTTCTACCACCTGTTAGGTGACACTGAGCGGAGCACTTGTTGCACTGGGAGATAATGAAGCACTGATCACAGGTCTCTTACTTCTTCCACTGGCAATGGCTATGCTCATTTATGCCACAATTATGTACTACGTGAGTACAAACCTTTTTTCTTTAATAAGTAACGACAAAATCGTTATGATTATTGACCATGGGCGAATAAAAAGCACACCGAACTTCAAAATCTAACATCTCAAAATGTGTTCTCTGTGGTTCAATGAAATTCACTTGATTAGTGTTACAAGACATTGCCGTTGTCAGTTTTGACATATCGGCTCTTGTAATATTCCAGTAGCGTTCAAGACACGCACGCACACGCACACGCACACACACACACACACACAAAATTATCAAAACGTAAGACCAGAATTGCCGGTTTGCTTTTAGCTACGGCTGTATCGGCTGAAGCATACTTCAAAAACTGGATACCAGGATGCATTTGGTCCTGCTGTGTTGACATTGTTTCTGTGTGTGGCCATTCTGTCTACGCTCAGTTTACAGTCCAGGAATTATCTGAAACGACTGGAAAAAGAAAAGTTAATTGAGAATGGTGAGAACAAAACATTTCGAAGTGGTGTAACCGCTCATGAATAGTAAAAACATAACGTATGTGAGTAGATATATTTCCAAATTCCTATTTAGAACCTATTAGACTTGCAAAAGGGTTATGTAAGAATATGCGCCGATTAAATATGAACTAGCATCCTACATAACAAATTGACTCTTTTCAAGGTTTTCACAATATTCTGCACGAATCCAGCCGCTGTCACAAGCTCAACACGATTTTCCCCGTATTCTTTGAACCAAGTGACGTGGTGTTAGATCCATCGGGGCGGTACCTGTGGGTGTGTTCAGGCAACATCGTAGCCAAAATAAATATCTACACTGAAGTTCTGGAAGAAAGCATACATGTCAGAGGTAAGTTGAACATATATATATACCATGATTAATATCATGACTTAAAAAGGGAGGGTTGATTGGATTGAGCTCTAATCCGTCATCTAAGGCCACACTTTTTTATTTTTATGGATGACATCCTCTGGGTACCCCAAAATCGGTGCGAGAGGGCGAAAAAAAAAAAA